GTATGGGTGTAAATTTTGACTTTGAAGAACTATCTAACTAGTAAACATCAGAGCACAACCTTCGGCGCTATCCAGGCTGGCAACGTATTCTCCTTCGTTCCAGATATCTCTTCAGCCAAGGGCGCTGGCTCTGACATCATCAAGCTGATTGATTCTATTCCCGAAATTGACGCTGAATCTAAGGAGGGCAAGAGTGTGAACGTGGAGAAGACTCGTGGTCACATCCGTCTCGAGAATGTACATTTCCGCTACCCGACAAGGCCCGGAGTGCGTGTCCTGCGCGACCTTTCGCTGCAGGTCGAGCCGGGTACGTATATCGCACTTGTTGGCGCTAGTGGTTCTGGCAAGAGTACTGTGTACGTTTTCGAAACCTGCCTCGGAAACCTGTGTTCGGCGCTGATTACCATTCTTTTCACAGCATTCAGTTGATTGAACGTTTCTACGACCCCCTTGCCGGCGAGATATTCGTAAGCTTTCCACGTTGTGTTGCTGAGCGCGCCTCGTTACTCACAGCTTCACCCATCAGCTTGACGACGAGCTCATTACCGAGCTGAACATCCAGGAGTACCGCAAGCAGATTGCTCTTGTCTCGCAGGAACCCACGTTGTATGCTGGTACTATCCGGTTCAATATCCTCCTTGGCGCCATCAAACCCGAGGACGAGGTTACCCAGGAAGAAATTGAACAGGCATGTCGCGATGCGAATATCTTGGAATTCATCCAGTCGCTTCCTGAGTATGTATTGTTTTTCTGCACTTTGTATGATGTGCTAATTCATTTTAGTGGCTTCGACACTGAAGTCGGTGGAAAGGGATCTCAGCTCTCTGGGGGTCAAAAACGTACTTTTTCTTTAAAAACCCCTTATGCTTCTTACTGACAAGTCCTAGAACGTATCGCGATCGCCCGTGCTCTTCTTCGTAACCCTAAGGTTCTACTCCTCGATGAGGTTCGTTCTTTGCTTTGCGATTTGCAGGTACCGCTTACTGATTGCCTTGCGATAGGCTACTTCTGCTCTCGATTCCAACTCCGAGAAGGTCGTTCAGGCCGCTCTCGATCAAGCCGCAAAGGGAAGGACAACGATCGCCATTGCTCACAGGTTGTCGACGATCCAAAATGCCGACCGAATGTGCGTCTAATTACCACATTGACGGAGATATGTCGCTAAAATTTTGATTTCCCAAATAGCTACTTTATCAAGGAAGGACGCGTCAGCGAATCTGGCACGCACGATCAACTACTCAGCCGACGGGGAGATTACTATGAGTATGTTCAGCTTCAAGCGCTGAGCAAACGAGACTAAAGGACTTCATCATGTTACATATACCATATTTCCTGACTACAGTACTGAGGACTTTCGCAACGATACTTATGATGGTTTCGTTTCTCGTACATACACTCTCCCATCTCCTGGTTATTAACATTTAAATGACGGAAAACGGCATATACACTTTTAATACCTTTAATAATAGAGCCGCATGCAGTGAACACGGACGCAAGGATGAGACTGAAAGGAACTGAGATTGGTTTCGAACTGTGGAAGAGGCAATGCGGCAGTCAGAACCACGTGGCGCGGACATTCTTTAGACAGCACTCCTCCCACCGCACTGCACACAACCCCCATCTCAAAAATGTCCGTCTCCCTCAATCCTAGTAGCTCACTTGGTTTCAAAAGTATGTTGCTCATTGTTCAGAATGACCTCCTCACTGTGCTTAAAACGTCTCCCAGGACCGCTCACGCAGCTCGTCAAGCGCTCCCTCACCATCACCAATCACAACCCCCAACCCATTGCCTTCAAGGTCAAGACTACCGCCCCCAAAGTACGCACACTCTCCTTCTCTATTCACCGCTGCTAAAAAAAATTCGGTCCAGTTGTACTGTGTACGGCCTAACTCTGGTAGAGTTGACCCTGGGGAGAGTGTCGATGTTTCCGGTGCGTATCTACGCCAAGTAACCAACTAATAGACTCACCAACTTCACGTAGTCATGCTGCAGGCCCTCCGGGAGGAGCCCCCATCTAATGCGAAGTGCAAGGATAAATTCCTCATTCAGAGCACCTTAATTACTGCGGAGAAAGAGACTATGACATTGGCAGAGATCGTGCGCTTTCTCCCTTATTCATGTATCTAATGTACCAACATTTTTTTCAGTGGACAGCGACGGACGCAGGCGGTGAAGAGGCGAAGGTCCATCAGCAGAAGCTCAGAGTGACCTATTTACCCGCAGAGGGCCCACCCCTAGAGGAGGAGGAAGAGCCCCAACAGCCCGCTCAAAGTTCTATTTTGCAGCCTAGTGATAATGGAGTGCGTTACGACACCGTCCGTCAAGAACCCTCCGCTGTGAATGGCCACCCACCCCCCATTCCCCAGTTTAATCAACCACCGCCGCCACCACAAGAAGTGTCACGTCCAAACACCCCTCCTGCTGACTTTTCGGTTGCGCGCGAGGATTCGGATGAAACCGTGCAGGAACAGGAAGTGCCCATCGTACACGTCACCGCTCATGAACCGCCTCCGGCCTCATTTGCGCCGTCGCCGCTTGGCGCAACTTCCGAGCTGGAATACATCAACGATCCCGCAGACGAACAAATATATGAACCGGAGCCTACCTACCAGCCCATGGTTGCCCCAATCATCAAGCCGTCGGCTTCTGTCCAAGAAGCGCCCAACGAAGAGCTGTTGGAGAAATTTGAGGAAGCACAGCAGGAGATCCAGCGCCTCCGCACGATGCTGGAAACCATGTCCACCCAGGACAACCCTCGTAGCGAGTCTCAATTCAGGCGGAGGAGATCAGCACTCTCGGACGATGGAAGTGTCGCAGAGACGGAATACAACACTGTGGTTGACGACCATTATCATCCCCAGCAAGAGGGTGTCCCACTGCAGGTCGTTGTGATCGTCGCACTTGGCGTGTTCATCACCACTTATCTCTTCTTCTGATCTGATCTGACGACTCGTTCTAAACTGGATTGTCGGGTTACTGTCAGATCGGTCACCATCGCCCACCATTCCACACTACAGCACACATGCACATATTCTCTTATTATTTTCCTATTTTCCCGTTTGTGGATCTGAACGCTATCTCCTGACCTACCAGTTAAAAATGCCTGTTCTCCCTTCTACTCTTCTAGGGACGCTGGGGCAGGCTTCACTCGTTTCCTCTGATTTCATGTTTCCATGTCTATTTTATTGTTACTCGATGTTGCTATCTTCTGGGTACTTTCCTTCATGTAAATACTTGCACTCTCTTTCTCACCTCTAGCCTTGACCTCGCTGTTTATTTCCCCTGCCCCCGAATCCCCGATTATGTCCTCCCGTAATCAATCCTACGCATGTAGACGAGCATTAAACGCTCCAACCAATATGACTAGTTAACGAGTTATGCAGGGACGAGGGCTACTCTGAGAGGACTTTGCCAGACTAGATTGCGAATTTGATCCAAAGGTGTCGGTCGAGAGCCTAGAACGTTTAGGTAGTCATGTCAACGCGGCGTAGGGTATGTACGCCCAAGGCTGTGGATCCAAAATGAGGTTGGTGGCCAGGTAATTTTGGGGACTTCAGCTTACTACTTATGCTAGTAATCATATATTCTTGTGCGGCAGCTTTACATCGGATGTCCCATCGAAGACAACGCATGAAATCACGAATATAATATGAACTATCTCCCATGACCATGGTAGAGGCCCATCCCCAAAAAGATGGAGGTCATGATTGAAATTAGGGAACTTAAGGGAACTCTGATGGATGACGCAACTTCGAGGCATTTGCGCGAGATCGCGGACAGGTTGGACGTAAGGGACTCACTCAACTCGCTCCAGATATATAAACATCTTCCAATACTGTCATTCGATTAGTTTCTCCCATGGACTCTTACCATGATAACAAGCACGTCGCCAAACGACAAAGGTCTATCTGCGAGACCTTTCTATACACCGCGTCTGCTGTCTGTAGCGTATTGGCGATTGTATGGCTGTATACGTCCTCGCTCAGAGGCGGACTCCCTGAGATACTGTATCCCCCACGACCCCCACCCGGTGTAGAAAAAGTCCGTGATTCCTTTATCTCGACTTGAACGTTCCATTACTGATTAACAACAGGCAGTTGCGTTGTTAACTGGTCCCTCCAATGTTACTGGAGCTATTATTTTCACTCAATTTGGTGGACATGGCCCGGTCACTGTGAGCGGTAACGTCGCAAACCTCGATCCAAATGCCCTGCGCGGCTTCCATGTCCAGTAGGTCTCTCCTTCAGCGCAAAAATGCCTCTAAACAACAACTTCCTAGCCAAGCTGGCGATCTAACTGGTGGTTGCCTATCTACAGGAGCGCACTATAACCCGTTCGGCAAAACGCACGGTTCCCCCACAGACCAGAACAGACACGTCGGGGACCTGGGAAACATCAAGTCAAACGGCAGTGGTGTTGCTGTCTTCTCATTCACCGACTATCAGCTTTCGCTCAATGGGCCATTCAGCATCCTCGGGTACGTATTACCTCCAACTATCTTCCCATGCCATGTAGATAGCTGATGTGTTGTTATTTATAGACGTGCGGTCGTTCTCCATGCTGTAAGCCCTTTCATCTCACTTGTGCTTACAGAATCATTCTAACATATTGACGGCTGCTATAGGGCACCGATGACTTGGGGAAAGGCGGAAATGAAGAGTCTCTCAAGACAGGCAATGCAGGAGCGCGTGCAGCGTGTGGTGTGATAGGAATCAGTGCATGATTCAGGACTCTGGGCCAGGGCGTCACCAAAGGAGTCTGAAGTAAATTAGCTACGAGCCTCGAGGTCTATGACCTTCATAAATAGTTATGTAGTAGATGACTGCCAGCATCATCCATCTAGCAAATGATTATTGTTCTAGTCCTTTCAATACGCTCCTAGTGCGAAGTTATGTTCACCATTTGTTCAATTTACCTGCAGCGATCTCAGGCTGTCCGACGATAAACATGATTTGCATTGTACAGCTCAGTCGTTGCATTGAATAAAAAGTGGACAGACAGTCCCGACGGTGGTTCGAACACCGGACCCTGCGATAACACATTGACTGCAATCGCATGCTATACCACTTAGCTATCGAGACATTGTGTTCTGGCTCCATAGAACATTAAAAAGTCTGATAGATAAGCAACACAACGCCACACTGGCAAGGAGGGTCGAGCAAATCAAAAATTGATATCGGCAAAGTGCCCCTCATATATACATATCATGTACTTAAATTGGTATTTGCATTTCGTCGAAACCTCAGCTTTTTTATGTATAGAAATGACTATCAAGTTTCTCGAGCGGTACTGGGGCTATCATATGGTCCCAAGTTTCCCCGTGATATATATTCATCAACTTGTGCGCCACTTACAACTATCCTGTTTACAATTATTTCTCCTACCAAACGAAATTCCCTGTCCAGATAGCCTAGGCACTGACGCAAGAATAGATGGTGGGGCTATAAAATTTGTCAAGTTTTGATGCAATGTAGCGCTTCCCAATTGTCTCGTTCTGATATTCCTGATAAAACTATATATATAATGTTTATACTGCTATTGACGGCGAAGATTACAGGCACTGTAGAGGGACCCGTAAGTAAACATGGTGGTAATCAGTTGATCGAGAAATTTACCTGGTAATAGTAAGGTGGGGAAACAGCGCTGCACTTGTATGGGCTCGCGCACGTAGTAGGACCAGTCCAGCCAGTCCCTACACATTGGAACCCAATCAGTAGCGAAACCTAAACAACAGAGAATCTACTTACCGCCACATTGGCCGTACTGAGTTTGGGTGGGGCCCGAAGCAGTGGTGGTTGGTGAAGCCGTGCTGCTCGTCGTCTTGGTAGTCGAACTTGATGGAGGTGCTGAGGTTGTTCCACCGCCAGTACCAGACCCGACGGCTGTAGTGATAGGACCAGACTCAACGTAGACGCCGCTGAAATACCAGTCTTCCGTTCCGGGTCCGTTGACGAGGCGCAGGACACCCAAATGCCAGTCGGCGGAGTTGGTGGAGGTTGACGCAGCGATGTTTTGCACAACCTTGGTGAGCGCGCCAGCACCAGTGGAGGCCCACAAGCCGACAGTGCCCGCGCTGAACTGTTCATGGTAGAAAATTTGAGAATTATTGAAAATAAACTAGCGCAAGATTTATTTCACGTACATTGATGTCGTAGGCAAAGTTGAACCAGGTATCGGCGGTGAAAGGCGTACTCCATTTTTCAACACCAGAGACCATCCACACGAGGTTGTTGGGATTGGCGCCGACACCATATTTGAGCTATACGGGACCGAAAATTAGGATCATTATTCAAGGGAGGTTGTTGGGAAATTTACCTCGGTGAAATGGCTTTCGAAGAAACAGACTTGGTGTTCGTAGGCGGGCTGTCATTGGAGAGGCACGTCAGAATCTTACTGGTTGATCAACTATGCAGCGATAGGCTTACATTTGGGGCGTTGGTTGCCGAGCGTTTCACAGAGAAATGGTAGAAAAGGTTACCTGTGCCAATGTTGGCAGAGGTTTGGGGAATAAGTTCGGACCTCTCGAACTGAGAGTTCCATGTGGAAGTGGAATCGATAGAAAGCTTCAAGCCGTTGGTCTCCGTGGTGATGGCGGGATTCTTGTATGAGGGCGAAAGGGCCAGGTATTTGGATGTCGGTTGGGTTCCGTGAATATACTAATAATCCAGTGGAGGCCAAATAAGTGTTCTTGCATAATCTCGATATCAGCGCACTTCTTACCCATTGGTAAGCGCCAACCTGGTTAGCCCAAGACCCTGGTTACACAGGATGAGTGCTATGCTCGGCCTCTGATCTAGGATACACTTACATTTGTCAAAATCTGCAGCCGTGGAGTACGAGTTGAAGCTCCCAGACCAGAGCGTTGTTCCCGCCTGAGCACCAAGCGTTAAAGCATAAAGCATAAAGCAAGTGAGAGCAAGCATGTTTTCGGACAACCTAGAGAAACTATTGCATCAGCGCATGTTTAAATACTGCACAGTGTTGATAAATGTCGGAAAACTCTCGCTCTATCGGTTCTCGAACTGAGGCACCAGAGGGAAAATTGTCGGGCTCGGCAAAACAACCTCAAAACATCCATTCGATCGCGATTCGCGTGTATTCAAGTCGTTATCATCATGGGATATTGTGTTTACAAGTCACGCGAGGGGTATGCAGCAGGTATCAAGTTATGCGAGTAGGTATGCCGTGTCTAAAGTTAATCCGAGGTATCAAATTGTGGCAAGATGTGAAGAGAAATTTCCGTACAGCGTAAAGACGCCCTCTCACTCTGGCCTCCTGAACATCCAAGCGGTCATCCACGACTTGGTCGATGTCGCTTTCTGAGTTTGTGCCTCTTCATCTTCAATTCGATCGATCAGCGCAGCCTTCTCCTCTGCCATAACCTCGTTGAAAATAGCCTCACGAGCAGAAATGTTGTGCGAACGTGTGCGTGACGCTACTGATAGATGTGGATTCGATGCATTTTTAGGTCGCTCGATAACTTCCGGTTGTAGATGAAACGTGGGCCTTTCACCAAACTCATGTGGCTCTGCAGATTTCGCACGCTGGAGATGCGGATACTGCAGAACAGATAGAATAGACCCAGACCTTGCGCGCCCAGCAGTAGTCGGTCGTTTCCCGTCTGAGAAAGACCTGAAATTCTGAGAGGGTGTGCTGTCTCCTAGAACTGAGGGACGTCTAGGATCCTGCGTCGCAGTGCTTGAGACAGTCAAGCTGCTGAGCTTCCGGCGAAATGTGGGTCTCCTCGGCCGTATAGTCTGCTCGACATCCCCTTCTCTGGACTGCACGCGCTGCGCAATCACTGGCGGGAGATCTATTTCCTCTGTACCATCGAAGGGATTCGAAGTTGTAGATAATCCTAGTTGGTCTGCTGAGGGGGAGCTCTGAACTTCTGCTGCCTCCTCTGGCGAGGTCACCTCCACAAGTCCGAGCCATGTTCCAAGCTGCCCCGCGGCAGCATCAACGCACAAGGACACCTTGAGATCGACGGTTTCATCAAGATCTAAGATACCACAAGGATTGCGTGGGAGCCACAAAACATTGTGAAAGGTTCTTGTGTAGAAAGGGTTGTCGTAGGGCAGGTCGACGGTGGTTTGGTCATCCCAGGGGATTGGAGGTGGGTGGCTCACAACAGGGCCTGAGGGGTCCAATTTTTTTCCAACATTATCGTTCCCTAATGGTATCCCTCCCCAAGGGAATTCGGTGAAAGGTGTTTGTGAGGGCACCTCGGGGACATGTAACCCGCGTTGATGCAAGTCCTGCCGGATTTCATCGTCAGAGATGGATTGAAGGCGGGCAAACTCCTGTCTTTGCGGATGAAAAGGGTTTGGCTGCCTGCGTTGCTGGTGGGGCTGGTGTTGCAGAGAAGCGTACGAGAAATTAAGCCATTCTGGTAATTTCCAGGTTAGTATCGAGGATTGTCGGTGATGCTTAGGGTTTATGAGGCCAGTCCCACTCATCTCTGAGTCTTTCTGATTGCCGCTTGACTCGACGTCCGCCTCGCTATGGAAGTTGCCGCACATTATATTAGCCTCTTCGATATCGTCTTGCTCGAACTGGGCGCGACACATGCGAGTCATCCTGTAAAATTTATCAATGAGGTCTCGTAACGCGAAGGCTTAGTAGACACGACTAACAGGAGTTTTGTCAAAGTCGTCAATATAATGAGACAGGCTGAAAGGCCGACGTTCACTGTCTTTTTCAAAACGACCATATACGCAAGAAAAACTGCCTAACATGGTCCCCTGAGCAAGGAGCAAATCTTTAGGAGAAATCGGTATACTTACTTGGGTGAGAATCAAACCTGTGGTAGACAAGTCATTTCTGGTATTATGCTAGTAGGGCAGAAAATGCACTGACCATCTAGCGAGTAACGAAGGATACGAATAAGGATAACTTGACCATTTGCTTCATAGTTTTTGGCGTATACATGAAGCAGCTGAAAAGGCATTAGTAAATGAAGCAGGTTTCCGAGGGTTTCGACACCGGCTTGCCTGGTTTTTTACTATACCTACGGGGCAAGGTCAGAATATATTTTGACGTGACTGATGCAACATACCGGTTTGAACGAAAAAATACAATGTACCAAACGGGAGTACAAATGGATTCAGGACGGAAAATAATAATAGGACGTGGATCACCAATAGATGATTGGGGAGCCAGTCTGATTTGATTTGGTCAATAAGCATTCGCAGGTGCCTTCCAGTGAGATGGGTGATCACTCACAATAAAAATTGAAGGTACGCGGTCTTGTACCAACCGCACGTTTGCGCCTGGAGTCTTGGTTAATTGTGCTCATGCCTAGAATATGAAAATCTACTTACGGAGTAAGCTGCCGTGCAGTACTTGGATACATGATCAAGGGGAGCTATAATCTAAGTCAGTCCCAGCTTCAAAGCCCAAGTACCAAGTCAAGTCTCTAACCCCAACTAATTAAAATTTTAATTAATCATCATATTGCTAGAAGTTATTAATCCACTCACGTAATGAGACCTCAAAACCTCCATGTATGGCCGTTGTAAATATCACTGAAAATAATGTCAGTTAACTTGATCGAACTCAAGAATGTCCTGTACATACGCCAACCGACATAGAATGGACCAGCAGTAGGGAAACTGTCTGCGACAATTTGCAACACATCCGGATGAGTAGCGTCCCCGGAGAGCTTGAAGGACTGCAGCAAGGACTGCATAGTAGCAGTCCCTACGCAAAAAAAGACCAGAACATTAACGATAAGAAATTTATAATAGCGGGTCATGATTCTATCATGCATAACAGAAAGTGTCGTGATCGTATGGGCTTTCTTAGCGATCAACAAAAGTATGAGGGGGATGAGAAGAGCAAGAAGAGCAACGAGGAGAGTGGGCAGGAATGATTGTATGAGTTCTTCCTCCCATGGGTGACTATCTAAATAAGATTTCTAGTGATAATTTTAGTAGAGACCGATCAAGACTGGAAACACATACAAGACTGGGCCAGAAAACACTGATATTCTGGATTGAAACCAAGCCAACCAGAAGAGAAACCGGGAATAGCCAGAATAGAGTGAATCCCCTAGAGCGATAATTTTGTGAGTCTTTTT